AAGATAGTTTTGATTGAAAAGCCTTTACTTTGTAATTTTTTAAAATAAAATTCAAATTTTAAAAAATTAATTTCTCGACAATTATCTCATCAAACCATGCTAAATTTTTTATTACCAATACAAAAATCATTGAATTTTAATATGCTAATTTTAAAATTTTAGCTTAAAGCCATAATAATGTATTAATTTTTCTTTAAATTCAATTAATTTATTCATTTTTTTAAAAAAATATCTCAACTTTAGCTCTTATCTAAAAATTTTTCTGATAATTAAAAAACTTTTAAAAAAACACATGATCTAAGCTACATATATACTAGTGTTTCTGAAAGTTTCAAGATCATAGCACCTCTCTATGAGAAGATATAGATGTAGTGAAACTTTTGTCAAGTACTGTAAGAATTTCTTTAATTGTTGAAGTTTTATCTCTATTTTTTCCCTCATCTTTTAAGGTTTTACAGAAGAAATAAGATACTTGTAAGTGATTCTTTTTTTAACGAAACTACATGAGAAAGATTTTATTTCTCAATTCTTGTAAATTTGCATCATTTTAGCTATATGATAGACCAGAATATGTATATAAGGTGTAATATTGCTTGATAAATAAAGGCCTGAAACTACTTCTTCACCTACTTTTCAATTACCAATAGAAGGTATTAAGAATAAATTTAACCATTCTTTTGCATTATTTTTAAAAATATTCAGATCTGTTATATTATCTCATAAATTATCATAAAGCTGTAAAAATTTATTCCATAAATTCCTGATTTTAGTTGCATGTGAAGGTATAAAAAGTAAATTAAGGTTAAAGTTTTTTAAAACTTTTATTTTATCCTTCCTTATTAATAATGTATAGCTTCAGCTTTCTGATCTTTGTTCTTTTCAAAATTGAAATCGGACTGAAATACATTTTATTTCTTCTATAATCACCTTACGAGCAAGATCATCAAAAAGTCTTTCATCTTTTAATTCATTCAAGATTAAACTCCAAAGATGGTCAGTTATCCTCAACATAACGTGAAGCTCATCAATTAGCCAATAATCTAATAGAATCATATTGAAAAGTGATGGTTTTTTATGACTATTATAAACTATAAAATCAGTATTCAATTGATCTATCATTTTGTTAATTATTTACTGTTTATTTAAATTTTTTCTATCATCCTTATTTGTATTACACCAAGGACAATAATAATATGAATTTGTGCTATTAAACCCCAAACAAATGCATAGAAATTTTCAATTAGCAGAGAAATAAAAATTAATATTTTAAGTAATATTATTAATTTTTATGCTCAATTTTTTTAATTCATATAACTCTTCCAAAAATAGTGTTATTGCATTTTTCAAAGAATCATAATCTTCGCTTTCAGGGTATAATACTACAATATAATAATAATTAGAAAGATAAAGATTCTTTTAATCATCAAGAATTGCGCAGGTTACTATTATATGCTGAACTTTCCGTCTACATTCCTTCTATCTTCTGATATCCTAATATTAATATATGGATTCTTTGGATTTAGAATATTTAAATTAACTAAAAAGGAAACTATGTAATTTAAAATATCATCAATACTACGATACCTACCTTTTCCAATTGCACTAATTACTTGTTCTATTATTTTAGGATCATTTATATCAGATTGTTCATTTAAATCAGCTCTAGAATTTGTTTTTATATCAATCAACTTAATTGGAATTAAGTTTTGTATTTCATTATCAATTTGAATCTTTGTATTATATATAATATATTATTGCGATAAATCATATTTCAATGCTGCTAAACTTCTATAAGCCTCACGAGATATTAAATTTTGATCTATTGTTCATATAAAAGATATTATATATTGTTGTTAATTTTCTTTATTGTGATTATTAAATTCAACTAAATAAAATTTTGTATCAACCAAATATTGAAATGATTCTAAAATAGGTTTATCTAATTTGTTATAATATTTTTTACTATGGGTTTAAAAATCATCATGAATTTGTGTTGCAAACTTTCAAGCATGCTTAGTAAGTGCTGATGAACTTGCTTTATTAACTAATTTCAAGTTGTCATAGTTTTTTTTTTCATGATTTTTTTTGACACAATCCAATTGTAATCTGAATAAGAAAACACCAGAAGTTCATATTAATTTCAAAGTAGTAGTTTTCTAAATTAATAATATAAATTAACATTAAATAATAATATGAAAAAATACATATATTTATTATAATTTTTACTTGCATTATGAAATAAAGTTGCTACCACACTTGTACTTTTTTTGATATTACTTGGTCTTCAAAATTTTTACCAAAATATATACAAAATATAGATATATTATCTAGGATAAATGTTAATATTATACCCTGTTATATAAATTATTTGTTACAGGTTATATATAGATATAAAATTTGAAGATCATGTGTATGTGAACGCGTTCAAGTAACTTTTAATAGAATTTACCTCATATCTTTTTTTTTATTAATTCTTCATTTTTAATATTTGGTTCCTAACTGATTTCGTGACGTGACAACATTCTTAACTGTTCTTAGGAGTAACGTATACTATTGCACTTTTATAAACTAATAAATTTGACATTGAGCAGGTAGAAGCGATATTTAAATATAGTTGCTCAACTGACTAATGCTGAGGCCAGTACCTTTTACGTGGTTAATTCTGAAACTAGTACTTTGAAATTAATATGAACTTCTGGTGTTTTCTTATTCAGATTACAATTGGATTGTGTCAAAAAAAATCATGAAA